ATTATAATTTATAAGTATTATTATAATTATTACGATTAATTATAATTATATTAGAAATTATTATTATAATTAATTATAATTTATAATTATTATAATTAATTCTAATTATTATTAGAAATTATTATTTTAATTATTATAATTATAATTTTAAATTATAATTATTATTATAATTATTTATAATTTATAATAATAATAATAATAATTATTTTTATAATTTATAATTAATTATATATTATAATTAATAATTATTATTATTATAAAAAAAATTGTCCGGCCGGCTCGTGACCGNCCGACGACCGGACGGCGCCGCCGCGTCCGGAGGCGGCGGCCGGACGCGGCTTCAGATTTTAAAAAAAATTTAAAAATTTTTTTCGCACGTAAAAATAAAATAAAATTACCTTGCTAGAGAAGAATGTTCTGCCGAGGCCATAGGATTTTTTCGATATTTTTTCGGTTTTTTTTCGGTGCTCGAATCGCTCGTTGAAAGTCCGAGAATTTAGAGAGATAGAGGGAGAAAAAGGGTTAAGGACAAAAGAGTAAAAATGGAGGGCGGGTGAGTAGTAATGGGGGCGGTAAATAGTAAATGAGTTTTTTTAATATGTATATACCAGCCCAACTTCCAAACTGATTACTTCTCATAGTGTGCCCCCTCTTTCTCTTCTCTAGAATCATCTTCGACGCTTCCAACTCACTCTTCTTATGAAATTTTGAAGCATATCTTGTTGGGATCCAGCGCCGCCATTATGTTGTATTGACCTCGACTTCCTTCTTATCTCGTATTTTCCTATTTCCTAATCCCAAATTTTTCATTTTCTTTTATCGCCACAATCTCCACATAGACAAATCCAGTGCCGGCGACCCTGGACCCTCGTCCCTATGCAATTACGATCTCCCATGAAGAAATGGTAGTTGCACGTCTGCCACGATCACGGCAGGAGGGTTGGGATCGTAGTTGCACGTCTGCCACGATCTACCATGAAGCACGTCCGTCTCAATGTCACTATTTCCTCTTGGACTAGTCCCAACAACTGGAGAAATGGCTTATCAGATTCCTATTCCATTTCAAATACGACGTACATACCTCGATCCAATAAGATAATTGAATCTGATTTATGCTTTAGTAATGACATTGAATCAGAATATGATAGCTTGCCTATTGAATTTGGCTCTAATTCAAAGAGATGTTGGTAAGTCACCTGGATTTTCGAGCATTTCATCATATTTATGGTTTTTTAGCGTTTGACCATCCGCGAAAGTCGGATCTAATACCTCAACTGGCTCACCGATTTATGATATTGTTTTCAACTGTGTATGGTTCGTTGCAAGAACAAATATTGGCTGTTGTTTTCAAACTTTTTTGATCAACAAAGGAAAAACTTGATGGGAGTTTGGAGAATTAGGTAATTTTGTCTCATAATAAGAGGTTTTGAAGCCTTCAAGAGCAGGAGTCAGTTGTGCAAGGAGAGATAAAGTAGGTAGAATCTAGGCTTGGGGTGCTATTTTCTGGGTTCAGTTTTGAACATGAAGAAGTTGAAATTGTATGGAAGTAAGTATGCAGTTCAGTTTATCGAATTATCGTTTATCCCAGATATTTGTTACTGGAAATTTGACTTGATTACATCCATTCTTGTCTGCAGCTTAAAATGGCTGGCCCCTCTTTTTTGAATTTTCAGCTGCATCGTTTGTTCTAAAATTTTTTGTTGTCTTTCTAACTGATTGAGAAAGAGCCCGTCCGCCGTCGCCCGAGGATCGACTGTCGTGATACCAATTGTTATGAACCAAGTTGTGTTGTATGAATTGAGCTATCTTTAGTTTGATTTATGATTTTTCGGTATTTCTCTGTAATAAAGGTAAAGAGATGAAGGAGGAAGATGATAAAGATAATTGAGAGAGAGAGAGAGAGAGAGAGTAGAGAGATAGATACGAGAGAGTGAAGAGAGATATAAACGAAATTTGTTTTAATTGATCGTTCCTTCTCCAAGCACAAACTTAGCTTTATAAGACATTTACATGTGGATCCCACAATATTCCCTTGTTGAACAACTTAGACTAATTAGAGGAAAATGATAAATAATATCAATAACAATAATAACACTTAACGAGCTACTTAAATAGGTCAACCCACAACTCAAAAGCCATCTCAGTTGGGCAGGAACTCCCTTCTTTCTTTAAGTCTTCATCCATGCCCAAGTCTCCATCCAAGCCCAAGTCTCTCCATATATCAATTACATGACATGCTACTTCTCAGGATTTTTGCGTTTGGATCGTAGAAATCCTCATTTCGGCTGGATGATGTGTTCGTACGTGTCATTGCATGGTTTCATACCCATTGCCTGTTTGGAAAGCATACTTTTGCTCGGCGGGTGGACTGTGGTTGTAAATACCTATATATTGTACATATGAGTGTACATAACACTCACATTGTGTGGAACCTACCAAAAATTAAAAAAAATATCAAGTTGACCCCACTCCATGTGAGTGTTATGTGCACTTCTATGTACATTTATTATGTACTTGTAGCATTTTCCCCTATAAATTAATGTTTGTAACCTTTTTTTTCGTATTGGACACCTTCGTGAAAATTCCTTGTGAATATGTCAGATGTCAACTATCGACCCACACTGGCGGCGCTGCTTTGAGAACCTTTAGGTTGACCTTGAGTACGATCGAAATCGTCGGCGTATGGCTCCTCCCGGTCCTCGTCCTCCTCAAACTTTAAGCTCTCGTGGATTTTAATAAAAGATTGAAAGGCACGTTGGACCGTCGCATATTCAATGTCATTGGGTAGACATGGAACGTCCGGGTATATCATCGACATCGACAATGGAGGTTGACCACCCATAGATGCGCCTACATTTTTATGGTTTGGCGGCCGTCCACCGGCACCTCCACGACCACCACGAGCACTTGACATTTTTTAAGTTTACTATAATTTATAGAGTAAAAACGAGAGGTGAAAATTATAGAAATGAGAGAGAATTCTGTAGAGATTATAAAACATAAACCAAAATGAGATTTATAAGATAAAAAATGAATTAATCTATAACTGGGCCGAATTTATCTAGAACCAGACATAAAATTAGAGAATATATTAAGAGAGAGATGAAGAAAGTGAGTAAGATAACAATGTTGGTGTGAATTTTCAGCAT